ATGAGAAATTTTGAAAATTATTAGGTGTTATTACCAAGATGGTAACCCAGGAAGCTCCTAAATATTCCTCTTCCCTTGAAGCACAAAATACGTGGATACACACAAAGAAATTACCTTTAGGAGAAATCCAGAAACTGTCTGAGTGACTCCTACACATCAAGTGACTGAGAAAATACCCACATTGAAATGGGTAGGAAAAGCCCCATGAGACACACTATTGCCATAAACCCTACTTCCAGCACAGCGCCTTATACTCAGGATGGAATCCACAACTCCCAGCATCTGCCTGAGGAGTGAAGAGTTTGGATCATGCTTCAAGCACCTAGACTTTAAAGTTACCACCTAAAGTATGGGTTCTTAAATCACCTAGCTTTGATAGTTAACAGAGCTTGCATTCATGAGTCTCACAGAACCAAAGAAAACAAAGAAGCAGGGGCGCCTGGGTGGCTCAGTCGGTTAAGCATCCAACTTCAGCTCAGGTCATGATCTCACGGTTCATGGGTTCATGCTCTGTGTCAGTCTCTGTGCTGACAGCTAGCTCAGAGCCTGGAGCCTGCTTCAGATTCTGTAACTCCCTCTCTCCCTGACCCTCCTCTACTCACACTGTCTCTTTCTCTCTCAGAAATAAAAAAGAAAGAAAGAAAGAAAGAAAGAAAGAAAGAGAAAAAGGAAACAAAGGAGCAGTTTGTTGTTGTTGAGATATAGCTGACATATAACATCATATCGGTTTCAGGTACAAAGAAATAGTTTTTAAGGGGGCATGTGAGTACTCCCTGCACCTATACCTTTGTGCTCAGTGCAGAGGGAACTGGTAAAAATGTCCATCTCCCTATTTCTCCCTGGAAATGAATGATTGCATACTTTTTAAGCTTCTGCTTGAGAGTCAGCCTTCTTATCTGCCTGTGTGTGGTTCTGTGGAATCCACCCAGAAGGTGAGAGAACTGGTGGTCACTGTCATCTTCCTCTGGCTCATTCCAACAGTAAAATCAAGTCTCCAGCTTCTCCCTAGAAAGAGCTTTCCATGCACCTAGCACCCCACCTGTTAAGGCTGCCATCTAAATGAAGATACAAAATGAATATGTTATTAATAATAGAGCAAGAAAATCTCTAAAAGCTTACCTTAATGAAAGGGAGATAAGTAATTTACCTAGCAGAGGTCAAGTTAACAGTCATAAAGATGTTCATCAAGGTAAGGATAGAAATGCCTAAACAAAGTGAGAATTTAAACAAAGGGACCATAGAACTAAAGAATGAACACTATATTAAAACTTCAATAGAGAGATTCAACAGGAAATCAGATCAAGTGGAATAAAGGATCAGTGAATTCAAAGACAGTCCAGTGGAAATCATCCATCAAAGGGTGGTGGTGGTGGGGGGAATCAAGAAGATAGTTTAAGGGACTATGGAACACAATGAAATGGATATATGCATTATATGTGTCCCAGAAGGAGAAGAGAAAGAGAAAGCAGCAGGTAGCTTTTTCAAAGAAATAATGGCTAAAAATTTTCTAAACCGAGGAAAAGAAACAGATATTTAGAGTTAGGAAGCTGAAAGACAACAACGTTAATACCAGTTCTTCTCAAACTCTTCCAAAAACTTGAGGAGGGAACACTTCTGTATTCATTTTATGAGGTCAGCATTACCCTGATATGAAGCTAGACAAGAACACTACAAGAAAGAAAATTACAGGTCAATATCTCCAGTGAGCATAGTTGCAAAAAATGTTCAATAAATGACTAGGAAACCAAATCCAACAGTACATTAAAAGGATTATACACCACAATCAAGTGGGATTTGGCCTTGGAATGCAAGGATGGTTCAACATAAGCAAATCAATAAATGTGATACACTCTAGTAATAAAATGAGGGATAAAAAGCATATGATTATCTCAATAGATGCAGAAAAGGCATCTGACAAAATGCAACATTCTTTAATGATTAAAATCTTGGTAAATTATAGGTATAGATGGAATGTACCTCAACATAATAAAGGCCGTATTTAACAAGTCCACAGCTAACATCATACTCAATGGTGAAAAGCTAAAAGTGTTTCCTCAAAGATCAGGAAGAAGACAAGAACACCTCCTCTCCCCACTTCTATTCAACATAGTACTGGAAGTCCTAGCTGGAGTAGTTAGGGAAGAAAAGAAATAAAAGACATCCAAATCTTAAAGGAAGAAGTGAAATTGTTTCTGCTTGCAGAAGGCATGATTTTGTATACAGAAAACTCGAAAGACTCCACCAAAAAACTGTTAGAACTAATAAACTCAGTAAAGCTGTAAGACACAAGATCAGTACATAAAAATCAGTTGTGTCTCTATACACTAAGAACAAACTATCAGAGAGATAAATTAAGATAATCCCATTTACAATAGTGTCAAAAGTAATACAATACTTAGGAATAAATTTAACCAAGGAGGTGAAGGATCTGTACACTGAAAACCATTAAACACTGATGAAAGAAATTGAAGACACAAATAAATGGAAAAATAGTCTGTGTTTATGGATTGGAATAATTAATAATGTTAAAATATCCATACCACTCAAAGCAGTCTACAATCCCTAACAAAGGAAATAGATTTCTATCCTTATAAAAGCAATCCCTATAAAATTCCAATGGCATTTTCCATAGAAATTTTTAAAAAACTAAAATTTATGGAACCAGAAAAGACCCCAAAAATCTGAAGTAATGTTAAGCAAGAAGAGCAAAGCTGTAGGGATCACTCTTGTTGACTTCAAAGTATATTACAAAGAGACAATAATCAAAACAGTATTGTATTTGTATAAAAACAAATGCAGAGATAGTGAAACAGAATGGAGAACCCAGAAGTACACCCATACATATAGGGTCAATTAATATGCAAAAAGATGCCAAGAAAACACATGGCAAAGGATACCCTCTTTAATAAACAGTGTAGGGAGGGGTGCCTGGGTGGCTCAATAGGTTAAGTGTCTGGCTTCAGCCTAGATCATGACCTCACGGTTCATGAGTTTGGGTGTGGGCCTATCTGCTGACAGCTCAGAGCCTAGAGCCTGCTTTGGATTCTGTGTCTTCCTCTCTCTCTCTCTCTCTCCCCCTCTCCTGCTCATGCTCTGTCTCTCAAAAACAAATAAATGTTAATAAAAAAATTTTTTAATGGTGTTGGGAAAACTGGATAACCATATGCAAAAGAATGAGACTGAATCCCTACCTTATACCATTCACAAAAATCAAGTCAAAAATGGATTCACAACTTGAATGTAAGACTTGAAACCATGAAACTTTTTTTTCTAAATAATAAAATTTATGTATTTACATTTGCTGATCAGTTAATGGCAGATTATTTGCATCTATGTGACCTCCTGAAATTGCAGAGCCCTACTGTACTGGCATACAACAGATGTAGCTAACACAAATTCACAAATTAAAATCCAGTTTCAGAAGCCCTTCCAAAGAGTCCTATAGGAGGAGGGTGAAGAAGGGTGGAATGCCCATGAATAGTCCACCCCAACATTTAATTAACAAACTGCTCATTGATGGGTAGAGTTAACTAAGAGCCAACAGGAGATTAAAAAAAAGGACAAAAGGAAATCACAACCTCAACTAATAACCCAGAGCCTAAACAACAGGTAATGTTACCAATGCAGTGATTCCAATGCTAGGCTGGGCTTTCTTAAAGATATTCTCCCTATCTCTGACTCAGAATTTCTAGTGGTAGGGCCCACTGTACTTTTGAAAACTGCCCTAGTTGGTACTTACTCGTCATGAGAGGATATAAGTTTTTTTTAGCTGTAATACTGATAGCTGAGAAGATCTAGACTCGTTACTCTAAAATTGGGGTAATGCACAGACCACGTAAGAGCTACCCTCTTTCTCCTGGTCCCACTGTTTGAAACCCATCCCAGCCTTCACTAAGTAGTGCTATTTGTGTTGGCTGTCTCAGAGACCAATCTCCTTTACCTATATCCCAAAAGAGTAAGGGTCAGAAATAAGGTGCCAAGTATTAACCAAACTAGAATCAGACTCCAAGAAGTCACATGTCAGGAAAGTCTACAACAGACATCTAAATAAATGATGGTGACACTGTTAACAGCATGCCAGGGCACGGGGGCAGGTCATAACCAAGTCCAATACCTACTAGTAGCTATGTGGCCCTATGTGTATTATTTAAATCTATTTCCTAATCTGTAAAACAGGGACAGAAACCATATCAAACTTACAGGGTTGTTTGAAGTTTTAAATGAGATAGTTCATGAAAAGTGCTTAGTACAGTGCCTGGTGTACATAGTAAGTTACCTGTTCAGTAAATATTAACTTTTAATCCTGGAGAAATTAAAGTTAGATATGCCTGGGTGAGTAAGTGCAGAGGCTGGTCTTCTGACTTAAAAGCTTCTCCCTTTTATCTGCATTCTCAGGAAAGGTAAGAACTTCTAGTCAGTACATCAGACTGATGCAGACCTAACAAAAGTCCTCAGGGACAGAACCAAGCCATATCATGGGGTAGGTGGGAAACTCATTAAAAGACAAGTGCAGAGCATCTGAGTCTGACTCTAGTAGTCATTCCTACACTCCTGCTCCTTGGGGCCCTTTCCTGTTGAGGTCCCAAGTCCTTCCCATCTTTCTTTAGGGGTCTGAGTCAAGAAGAGACTAAAGACTCACCCAGAGGAAAATGAGACTGATGGCAAAGCCTGAGGGGCCTGTCACCTGTACTCCTACAATTAGGGACAATGGAAGTGTGAAACAGCAGTGGCTTTCCCCAAGAGATGCAGCCCAGTGATACAGCAACCCCGGCTTTGCCCAATTTTTTTTGAGGAAATGGGTCTGCCCTTGTCTTCTTCACAGGTCTGCTTCATCTGTGTACAGGATCCTTCTCACTCCAAACCACCTTGATGCCAGTAAACGCTTAGAAAAGGAGAATCAGCTCATCAGTGCATGAAGTCCTGGGGAGTGGGAAGGGACATATTTCCTTTTCCCAGCTCCTCTCCACTCCCAATAAACTCCCATCTTTTACTTCTCTCACTTTGTATTCCTGCACCACCTCCTCCAATGGCACCATACTGGGCTGTTTGTGGCTCCTGGATTCTTGGCAAACCACACAGGTGGCCTCTTCATCCACCTCGCAGAAGAGCTTCAGGGCTTCCTGGTGTTTGGGACAAATGCCCTGCTCGTTCCCACGGCTCCCTCGACCAGGAGTTGGGTGCATCTGTCGAATCACCTGGACCATGTTGGCCAGCTGCAGGTCGGGGTGGAAGCTCCGCCTGGGAAAGCTCTTTCGGCACTGGGGGCAGGTGAAGCACCTCCGAGGGGCTGGAGGCGGGGGGCAGTGGGGTGACGGGGTCTAGCTCCTCTTCCTCGTCCTCCTCCAGCACTCCCTGCTCGTCCTCCTCATCCTCCCCTCTCAGGTCCTCCTCCATGTCGCCGGAGCAGCAGTCCAAATCTTCCTCCTCGCCCTCCTCCTCCCACACATAGTCCATGTTGTCCCAGTTGGACCCGCCCATGCCACTGGTCCAGAACACACCCTCCTCTTCCTCTTCGACCTCCTCCTCCATGTTGCCCTCACAGTCTTCATCCCTCATGGGGGTGGGACCCCCCCCACCGGCCCCCACAGCCCCCACAGCCTCCACCTCCTCCTCTTCTCTGTCCTTCTCCTCCTCCTCCGGGTCTAATTCGTCCCTGTCCTCCTCATCCTCCCCTTCCCACAACTGGGTTACACACACTCGGCAGAAGTTGGGCCCGCAGCCGATGGACATGGGGTCCATGAAGTAATCAAGGCAGATGGCGCACACTGCCTTCTCCTGAAGGGTCTGCACAGGGTTGGGTGCCATGGCAACGGGAGGTATCTTAGTGTCCAATCAGCCAGTATATATTTTTTTATTTAATTTTTTTTTTTTTATTTCTAGGAGAGAGAGAGAGACAGAGTGAGCAGGGGAGGGTCAGACAGAGAGGGAGTCACAGACTGAAACAGGCTCCAGGCTCTGAGCTGGCAGTCAGCACAGAGCCCGACGCGGGGCTCGAACCCACGAACCGCGAGATCATGACCTAAGCGAAAGTCGGACGCTTAACCGACTAAGCCACCCAGGCGCCCCTCCAGTCAGCCAGTATAGATGGAAACCATGAAACTCTTATGTTTATAGTGGATAAGCTTTTTATTTTTTTACAAAAATATTTTATTATTATTTTTAAAAATATAATTTATTGTCAAGTTAGCTAATATACAGTGTAAACAGTTTGTTCTTGGCTTCAGGGGTAGATTCCTGTGATTCACCGCTTGCATACAACACCCAGCACTCGACCCAACATGTGCCTTCCTCAGTGCCCATCACCCATTTTTCCCTCCTCCCACCCTCCCATCAATCCTCAGTTTGTTCTCTGTATTTAAGAGTCTCTTATGGTTTTCCTCCCACTGTTTGAAACTACTTTTTTCCCCTACCCTTCCCCCATGGTCTTCTGTTAAGTTTCTCAAATTCCACATATGAGTGAAAACGTATATGTATCTTTCTCTGACTGACTTATTTCACTTAGCATAATACCCTCCAGTTCCATCCAAATGGTTGCAAATGGCAAGATTTCATTCTGTCTCGTTGCCAAGTATTATCTCATTGTATATATATAAATGACATCTTCTTTATCCATTCATCAGTTGATGGACATTTGGGCTCTTCCCATAATTTGGCTATTGTCGATAGTGCTGCTATAAACATTGAGGTACATGAGCCCCTATGAGACAGCACTCCTGTATTCTTCGGATAAATTCCTAGTAGTGCTACTTCTGGTCATAGGGTAATTTGATTTTTAGTTTTTTGAGGAACCTCCACACTGTTTTCCAGAGCAGCTGCACCAGTTTGCATTTGCACCAATAGTGCAAGAGAGTTCCCATTTCTCCACATCCGCACCAGCATCTATTGTTTCCTGAGTTGTTAATTTTAGCCACTCTGACTGGTGTGAGGTGGTATCTCATTGTGGTTTTGATTTGTATTTCCCTGATGATGAGCGATGTTGAGCATCTTCTCATGTGTCTGTTGGCCATCTGGATGTTTTTTCTGGGAAATTGTCTATTCATGTCTTCTTTTCATTTCTTCACTGGATTATTTGTTTCTCGGGTGTTGGGTTTAGTAAGTTCTTTATAGATTTTGGATACTAACCCTTTACCTGATATGTCATTTGCAAATATCCTCTCCCATTCTGTCTGTCGCCTTTTAGTTCTGTTGATTGTTTCCTTAGCAGCGCAGAAGCTTTGTATGTTGTCGAGGTCCCAATAATTCATTTTTGCTTTTATTTCCCTTGCCTTCAGAAATGTGTTGAGTAAGAAGTTGCTGCAGCTGAGGTCAGAGAGGCTGTTACCTGTTTTCTCCTCTAGGGTTTTGATGGTTTCCTGTCTCACGTTTGAGTCTTTCATCCATTTTGAGTTTATTATTATGTATGGTGTACGAGAGTAATCCAGTTTTATTCTTCTGCATGTTGCTGTCCAGATCTCCCAGTACCATTTGCTAAAGAGACTGTCTTTTTTTCCATTGGGTACTCTTTCCTGTTCTGTCAAAGATTAGTGGGCCATACATTTGTGGGTCTAATTCTGGGTTCTCTATTCTACTTCATTGATCTATGTGTCTGCTTTTGTGCCAGTACCATACTGTCTCAATGACATACTGACATTGACAAACCATACTGTCTCCAGCTTTGTAGTAGAGGCTAAAGTCTGGGATTGTGATGCCTCCCGCTTCTGTTTTCTTTTTCAACATTACTTTGGCTATTCGGAGTCTTTTGTGATTCCATACAAATTAAGGGATTGTATAATTCAGCTCTGAGAAGAATGCTAGTGCAATTTTGATTGGGATTGCATTGAATGTGTAGATTGCTTTGGGTAGTATTGACATTTTAACAATATTTGTTCTTCCAATCCATGAGCATGGAATGCTTTTCCATTTCTTTATGTCTTCTTCAATTTCTTTCATAAGTTTTCTATAGTTTTCAGTCTACAGATCTTTTACAACATTGGTTAGGTTTATTCCTGGGTATTTGATGGTTCTTGGTGCAGTTGTAAATAGGATCGATTTCTGGATTTCTCTTTATGTTACTTCATTATTGGTGCATAGAAATGCAACTGATTTCTGTACATTGGTTTTATATCCTGCGACTTTGCTGAATTCATGTATCAGTTCTAGCAGCTTTTTGGTGGAGTCTTTCGGGTTTTCCATGTAGAGTACCATGTCATCTGAAAAAAGTGAAAGTTTGACTTCTTCTGTGCCAATTTGGATGCCTTTTATTTCATTTTGTTGTCTGATTGCTGAGGTTAGGACTTCCAACACTATGTTCAACAACTGTGGTGAGAGTGGACATTCCTTTCATGTTCCTGATCTCAGGGGGAAAGCTCTCAGTTTTTCCCCATTGAGGATGATATTAGCTGTGGATAATCCTTTTGACATTGGTTTTGGCAATGAGTTTCTGGATTTGACACCAAAAGCATAGGCAACAAAAGCAAAAATAAACAAATGGACTACATCAAACCAAAACACTTCTGCACAGCAAAGGAAACAATAAAAAATAAGAAGGCAATTCATGGAATGGGAGAAAATATTTGCAAACCTCATATATGATATGGAGTTAATATCAAAAATATAAAAGAAACTCATACAACTCAATAGTAATAATAGCAACCAATTAAAAAATAGGCAAGGACCTGAATAGATATTTTTCCAAAGAAGAAATACAAAAGGCCACTGGGTACATGAAAAGGTGCTCAACTTCACTAATCAGGGAAATGAAAATCAAAAGGAGATATCAACTCACACCTGTTAGGATGTTTATTTTCAAAAAGACATGAGATAAATTCTGGTGATGATGCAGAGAACAGGAACAGAAACCTTTGCACACCATTTGTCAGAATGTAAACCAGTACAGTCACTAGAGAAAATAGTATGGAGTTTCCTCAAGAAAATAAAAACAGAACTACCATATTGTCCAGCAATCCCACTTCTGGATATAAACCCAAGGGAAACAAAATCAATACCTTGAAGAAATATTAGTACTTCTAGGTTGACTGCAGCATTATTATAATAGTCAAGGTATAGAATAACTTAAATGTCTGTCAACAGATGAAATGGACAAAGGAAATGTAAGATTTCTATCTATCTATGGAGGAAATCCTATCATTTGCAACAACATGGGTGAAACTGAAGGGGATTATGAAATGAGCTGAACAAAGTGAAATAAGCTACACAAAGAAAGACAAATATTGTATGGTATCACTTATATGTGGAATTAAAAAAAAAAGTTGAACTTATAGAAACACAGAGTAGAATGGTGATTTCCAGGGACTAGGAGGTAGAAAATGGGAACAGGTAAGTAAAGGCTACAAATAGTTATAAGATGAATAAATTCTGAAGATCTACTGTAGAGCATGGTGACTAGAGTTGATATCACTATATTGTATAAGTGAAATTTGCTAAGAGGGTAGATCTCAAGCACTCTCATAAAAAAAAGGCAGCTATGTGAGGTGATGGATATGATTTTGGGTTTTTGACAATATATACATATATCTTTAAAAATTTTTTATGTTTATTTTTGAAAAAGAGAGAGAGAGAGAGGAGTGCTAGTGGGAAGGGGCAGAGAGAGAGGGAGACAAAGAATCCGAAGCAGGTTCCAGGCTTAACCCACTGAGATACTAAGGGGCCCTAACAATGTATACATATATCAAGCCATCACATTACACACTTTAAATATATGACAATTTTGTGTGTTAATTTTACCTCAATAATGTTGGAAATTTTATTTAAAATAAAACCACACAGGAGCGCCTGGGTGGCTCAGTTGGTTAAGCGTCCGACTTCGGCTCAGGTCATGATCTCATGGTTTGTGGGTTCGGGCCCCGCGTCGGGCTCTGTGCTGACAGCTAGCTCAGAGCCTGGAGCCTGCTTCTGATTCTGTGTCTCTCTCTCTCTCTCTCTGGCCCTCCCCTGCTCATGCTGTCTCTCTCAAAAAAATAAACAAAACATTTAAAAAATAAATAAATAAAATAAAACCACACAGGGTGCCTGTGTGGCTCAGTTGGTTAAGTGTCTGACTCTTGATTTTGGATGGGATCATGATCTCACAGATCATGGGTTCAGGCCCCACATCCAGCTCTCTTCTGTCAGTGCAGAGCTCTCTTTGTATCCTCTGTCTCCCTCTCTCTCTGCCCCTCCCCTGCTCATGCTCTCTCTCAAAAATAAATAAACATTAAATAAAAAAAAACCAGGCACACAAAGGGAAAACAAAGTTCCTTGGGATAATGCTATCTCCCATTCCATCTATTCTTCAGGTTTTTAATTCACTATTTTCTCTAAGCTTAGAAGGGCTATGGGCCAAAGGTACTTGGTGGTTCTGCTTGAAAAGAATCTATATTTACATATTTAAAATTGTCTGATGAGAGCTGGAACTTTTAATCTCTTCACAACTGAGATAACACAGAATTATTTTTCTTTAAACACTTTTTCTCTAGTCTTAGCAATTTAATTTAGGGGAAAGTCTAATTCTTGTATCTATAACAACACTAAACTTCCCATTCAATTTGCTGCAATCTTTGTGCTTCATATCTGAAATTTAACAATGTATCAGTAAAATTTTAGTGTTACCTTCTTTTATTCCTATAAAAGGCAGCATTTTTAGGAAAATGCCTTAAAAGTATTAATAAAAATTGACTTCATTATTACTTTGTACTTTGAGTTCATTGAACTATGTGGGAGTTAATCTTTTGGCCCTTACACATGCCAAACTCCTTAGGGTTCAGTGTGTGTTTTGTGCATGGAAGAATTAGAGAATTGAGCTTTTGGTTTATTTCTCCAATATTCACTTGAATTGCCTTTGC